AGCAGCAGACTGATTTCTCTGTGTTCTGTCACTCAGGAATGTGTTCATCAGCAGGGTCTTACCATCATACCCAGAGGGTAATCAAGAACAATGACAATAGGCTGTTAAAGTCTTCAGTGCGATCCTTTGAGATCCCACTAACACCATATAGGCTATCTTGGACCAGGTTCAGCTGAAGCATTTAAATCTTAGACTCTCATATCTCTATCAATGACTGACTTATTGTATGTGAAGCAAATTGGTAATTGTAATAATAATTTTACTGTAAGGATTTAAGATTTGTCAAAAAGGTAATGATAAAAGACAATATAATCATGTTTTGAGACATTTATATTAACATTTTCCATCTATAGTAGATTTTTTTTAAGACTGTAAGAAATTCTAACCTATAGGAAGGATGGAAGAGAAAGTTTGTCTTTTATGTTGACAGTGGAGAAATGGCTTGTCTGATGTACCACAAGGAGGGAATGCATGTGCTAGGTGAGGCATGACTGATCTTTGCTAAGCCTCAGCTTAGGATATTAGAACATTGAGATATGTGTTGGAAATGAAGCTTCTGTTGGGCAGCTCTGTAGTGACTGGATATATAAACAAAGAAAAATAATATGGATTTGGGCCTAAAATAACTCAGGATATTTAAGAAGCAAGGAATAGAGTTGGAGGCTACTTTTTTCTTAGAGTGAACATACCCTTTAAATATTTAGATTAGGCAACTCAACTAAAAATTAACTTATTATAACAAAAAACAAATGTAAAGTATATATACGCATACACACACACATATATATGAATAATAACAAACTGAGAAAAAAATAAGCAAGCTTGCAGGTAGCATTCAAACAATTGCATTTTCGTGTCCTGACAAATCATATATATATATATGTCTTAATACTATGTAGACTAATATATATAATATATGTATTGTATATAATATATTATATATATTATATAATATATTTATATTATATTAGCTTCTTCAAACCTGACAAATGTCTTTCAAACAAACCACAGGACACTTGGGGACTCTACTCGCAGACTTCACTGCCTACGTTGAACCCCCATACTTGCTCTCTCCCCAAATCTGAAAGAAAACTACTTGACTCTGTTTCACAATGACTCCAGTTGTCAGTAAATAATTTAAGATCTGAAAGATCACTTGCTTAAGAGTGGTAGTTGATTAGTATAGAATGCATTTTAATAAAAACATGCATTTAAATGAGTTATGTATAAACAAACACTTGCAGGGATGAGTCAGTCAGAAGTGTGCAAAGGATCCACTTCAAAAAAGGGATACAAGTAAATGTACGTCCCCTGGGACTCATCTTAAAAACCGCATCTACTAATACAAGACACAATCTAGGCTGATGTTTCACTTACATTTGCCATGGTGCTATCTAGTTACCCGCCCATGGTCCATCTATGAGTAACCTAAAAGACCCATGGCAAAAGGAGTGATTCCCCCACTGCCCCAGCCATTGCTTGGGACCATTGTCAGGGAACCTCAGATAAGAGCTTGTGAGAGCAGGTGACAGCCATGAATTGAGTCATCCCATAGACTGGATATTGTTGAGTCTTGTGGAGAGAACAAATGTCCGCTATGTGATGGATGACTATCGCACAAACTTGCTGCCATAATCTGGACAAAGACAAGGGCGATCTACCTGCTCCGTTGGTTGGGAATGAGTCACTCAAGTGGAAAGCATGACCTTGTCCCTAGGAACATGTTTCCCGGATCACTAAGGGGTGGCGTGATGAGGGAAAGCTATAAAGTGGAGCTATCGCATTGAGAATATTTCTTTGGTTATTGTGGCCAAGATGACTTGGCAACTACCAAGACAAATCCCACTAACATGCATTTTTAGACCTCTGAGTTTGAAACCTAGTAGATAACAACAAAAGTAAGAGCAGTGTCGGGTAGAATGTTGTGTTTGGGGAATTGCCAAACATAATTTTGAAGCACTTTGCCTTGAAGGGTTTAGCTCCAGGACATAATGAAGGAAATTTTATCTCACCTCGTGTGTAAATCATCAAATCACTGTTTTGCTAAACCAGTCTGTTTTCCAAACAGAATAATATTTATTTATATTCTGATTCATATATATTTCTACATACATACAGACGACTATGTACTGGTCATCTTTAAAACATAGCTCCCAATGCTTTAAATTTGCTTAATCTAGATGCAGTCCAAACTTAGTAGGCTATTGCCTGTTTGACATCCTGGCATCTGCAGTTTTGAAGACTAAATAGCTTTCATGATCTTATTTTGTAAGAAAGTAGAGGTTCTCATATACGTATTTTACATTCGAATTTTATTGTCAATATAGATCAGTGGTTCTCAACCTTCCTAATGTTGCAACCCTTTAGTATAGTTCCTCATGTTTTGGGCCCCCCCCAACTTTTACTATATAATTATTTCATTGCTATTTCATAATTGTAATTGTGCTACTGTTGTGAATCATAGTGTAAACACCTGATATGCAGGATATATGATAGGGCCATATATCAGATATATACAGGTTGAGGACCTTTGATATAGCCTCACAATAAAAGGCCTTCTAAAATAAGAAATAGTAATTGCTATTTAGGGTAAAAATTCTTGAGAGTAACTTTGGTTTTCTAAAATATTTTATTGGTTAATTCATTCATTTATTTATGTACTCAGTAAATATTTATGCGCTTCCAGTCAGAAAAATACACAGATAACTCAGATGTGGTTTCTGTCTTTGAAGAACCATACCAGTAAAAGAAAGGAGAATAGAAAATTTACAGTAAGAATATACTACAAGAGATTATTGAAAAAAAGATTAAACTTTTACCTCAGAGGACTTTTTGCAAGTCTAGTATTCTAAATTTATATAAATAAAATAATTCAGTTATATTATTCAATGTTCCAATTATCCTAGATAAATAAAAAAGTAGTGTGATGCTTGAGAACAAATTATAAACAAATAAGCAAAGAACAACTAAGAATTATTCTACACTTAAATATAATTTATTTTAAACCTTTTCTGATCTTCCAGATAATCAATTCAAATTTAATTATAAATAATACATAACTGCAGACATTTGAAGCCTGTTATATGGTTATTAGTGTTGAGGTGACTATAGTTGCTTGTACATATCATACATGTGTGTATGTGTGTGCACAAGTAAGGGTAAAATTGGCAAGTGTTCCAAAGAAATTTGCTACGTTTGGAACCTATGCTAAAAGACAAACTAGAGATATCAGAGAATGAACAGAAAAAATTGTGAGCTAATCTTTTTATGGAATAGCCAATCATAAAAAAATAGCTCATTAGAGGCAAAACCTTAAACCAACTAATCATTCATTATCGCTATAACCTTTTATTTAGCGTATCATATTCATTTATTAATTTGTATGTGTGTTTATGTGGTGGGGAAAGGCACTTGTGTGGCATATGTGTGGAGACTGGAGGACTATTAGCAGTAGATTATTCTTGCATTTTTCCCTGTGAGTCATCATGTCATCTGGATTGATGGGAAGCATCTTTACCTTCGCAGCCATGTTTCTGGCCTTTTTTTTTTTTTTACTTCTTAAGAAAAAGATTCTTTAATACTTAATTACTTCAGATTCTATGTAACCACCAAAAATAGAGGCTTACAAATATAATTTTTACTTATAATTTATTTACTTATAGTTTTACTTATAATTTAAATATTAAGCAGAAAAATGAATAGTCTTTCTATGGTTTGAATGATAAAAATGATGCAAAATTAATCATTATTCATAATATGACACTGGTTGAACCCGTGAGGTAAAAGTAAGATATGTTCACCCAAGTACAGACATACAGTATTTACGAAGTTAGGTTCATAGTAATCTAACACATTAATATTGACATCTTGCTTTTATGTTAGGTAATAGCAGCCATACAATAAGGCTGGAAGCAGGTCATAGGTCAAACTGCCAGGGCTCCAATGAATCATTAACTCACTAACAATTCCAGGAAGCCTAGAGTGCTCCATACTGTTCCCAGATGAAACACGTTACTTTGTGATAGATGTTACACTGCTATAATTTCACCTTACTTAACCAACATCCAAATAAGTTAACATTGCCACGATAAGAAGAGCTTTGAAAAAACCTATATGGACCACTGCCTTTCTGTAATATCATGCATGTATACCTCTCTCCCCAGAAAATTGCTTTCTTCTGTTTTTTAAATTTTATTTTAATTTTTTTATTGATTCTGAATGATAATTCAAGTTTCACTGACAAGATTAGAAAACCACACTCATTGTCTTAAAGTAGAATGATGGAAAGCACTTATAAAACCGCAACAGGATAGGAGTGAATACAGAAAAATCTACTCAAGTTATAAATACTAAGGAAAATACATTAACAAACCAATAAAAGACAGGTAAATTCATATTCAAGACATATTTTTTGATTATGTTTTTTGGAGACAGGGTCTCACTGGATAGTGGTGTTTGGCTTCAAACTTCTGTGTTACCAGGTTGGCCTTGAGCCCAGAGACGTCTGCCTGCCTCTGCCTCCAGAATCCTGGGATTAAAGGCATGTACCACTAGGCCTGGAAATATTTTCCTTGAGACTATAACTACTTTGAAAATTATTTACTAATAGGAAATATGAAAATTTCTAGACCAACTGTGTTTTTCTATAATCTGTAATTTATATTGAAAGTTTTATGCAGTGACTAACATAATCAAACATATTGTAAACAAAGTTTAAAAGTCAGGTTAAAGACTATCCTTTTGAGGTTGAGGATTTAGCTCAGTGGTAGAGCGTTTGCCTAGTAAGCACAAGGCCCTGGGTTCGGTCCTCAGCTCTAAAAATAATAATAAAAAAAAAGACTACCCTTTTCAGTATCATTTCTGTAGTTCATTAAAAATTAGAATAGCTCAAAATGTCTAATTTTAGTAGAGGTATTACATAGAAAATTTCAGTTTCCTATGGAAACAATTTTCTCTTGTTAACATCATATTAAATTATTTTAAATCGATCCATATTTTAGGTCATGACCCTTGTAATTAAGAAATTCTTGAAGACAATATTGAGCATGATTCAGGAGAAAATGTGATTTGAGTCTGGAGACAATTGTGCATGTAAGTATTTGGAAATAGGATTTTTCAGGGGTGAAATGTAATTAGCAACTAAAATAACAACTTGTTAATTACTAAACTGCAGAAGATTTGCATCGTATTTTTCAATCTAGCACACTAATTTTTTAAATTATGAGATTAATAGAGTTTTTCCTGATTTTCAGGTACTTTTTCTTAAGATCTTAAAAAAGAAATCCAGGGTTGTGGGTTGCTGATTGATAGAAGAGAAACAGTATTCAGAAGATTGCTTATGATTGACAAGAACAGCTGCTGTAGCTACCTAGGTGAGTCACTGCGGGCAACCAGTGGAGCACATTCAGTCCAGTGAGCAATGGCATGCTCTCAGTGCCTGTCGCCGAAAAACGGAAAACCTGGGGTCATGTGGAAAGGAGCTTTCTAATTTTATTCTGAAAATAGTTATGGCTTCTTTTCTAACAAAATTCAAACCAAGTTCATTGTTCCGTGGTAAATATCTACTGCAGATTGTTTTGTTTCCTTTGAAAAGTCATTGTTACATGCTAATTTAAATATGTATTATGTTTAGTGGCTATATCTTGATAACTCAGATGTATAAAACTAGTGTATTAGGGTATATTAGGAAGTAAGCTTTAGGGACATCAGTCCCACAGAGTGTTTCTTAGTATTCAGATGGCAGGTGGTATTTGAGAGGCCATTTTTACCAGCTTAGAATGTGATCTAATATTGGATTGACATATATATATATATATATATATATATATAACTCATACCCAGAGCCTTATTTCAACAATGTAGAAGACTTTGAGAATCTTTTTATTTCCTGATTAATTCTTGTATTAATTACTTTTCTTATGAATTTAGCAAAATACCTGTCAGGAAACAAAGGTAAAGGAAGAGGATTTATCTTTGCTCACAGTTTGAAGGTTTAGGCTGCGTTGTCAAAGAAAGCAACAGCAGTGCAGATGTGAGCCATGTGTTCACTCTGGGTCTGCAAGAAGCAGGCTGCAGTGACTGTTTCCATCCAGCTTAGTCTTTTTTGTTGAGTTCATGAGCCCAGGCCACAGAACGGTGCTGTCCACAGTTAAGGTCTTCCCATATCAACTAACTCAATCAGAAGATCCCTGACCGTCATGCCCAGAGACTAACTTAATATGGATAATTCCTCATAGACGTGTCTCCTAGGTGATTCAAAATCTGTTCACTGATAACCAGTATTAATACAAATTTAATCACAATTTTCTATAGTGAGGAATTGAAAGGACATTTTTATGTTGTCTGAATGTTAATTCTCAAACAATTGGCCTGAGAATAATTTCCTTCCTTAAATTGAAGTCAGAAAGTTGCAGATAAGTACTTAAAAGAAATAAACATAAATTATATATATAATAAAATGTGAAAGATAGTCATATAAAGTTGTTTATGTTTGTAGTTAAATAACTGTACTCCAACTTTGGTAAAGGCAAAGAAACCAAGTTACTTTCTAGTTACTCAAAAGTACATGTGTCAAATGTTTTATTTGTAAGTCAAATTAAACTAGATTGTATTTCACAAAATTCTGTTATACTTTAAGCCATAATGTTGTCAATATTTGTAACACATTTGATTACTAAACAAACTTTTAGAATTAGTATAGCATTATAACAGATATTTTCTTTTGAAGGATATGTTGATTTCATGAATATTGAACTTTATTTCTTTCATTTTTATTATAGCTTGAACATACAGCACATTTCATTTGGACTCTAATGATGGATAAAAAGCATATACTATGTTTTCTGTTTCTCTTGCTTCTTAATATGGTAAGCATTCACCTTACATATTTATTTCATTAGTTATAACTGTGCTTTACTTACAACATGCATTTAATTGGTAAAAGTTAATAAATACAAGTTAAAGTAGTTATGCGATTAGTAAGTTGATTTCATTTTTATATCCAATCAACATGGCAATAATCCACTTCCTTTTAGTATTTTTTTATACTTTGAATTTTTATAACCTATATGGTTTGTTGGATCCTTGGAACGAGGTTGAGTATCAGTGGATTCAAACGTACAAAACTCAAAAGTGGTAAAGTTGGAAAATACTGGAATGACACTTTATGGTAGTACAAAGATACACAGCACATAAAATATGTTTACAGAGACACATAGATTCAGAATTATCTTTGAAAGATCATATTCTAGTCTTTAAATTTTTTCTTTTGGTTCACCGATTGGCATTTATCGATTGAAAGTAACAAGGGGACATGTTCTGAGTTTTGTATTGGTTTACTCGTTCATTAATAAATCACTCATTCAAATGGATCTTGATGCTAAGTTTGAGGCAAATATGTCTTCATATGTGTGTGGACATCCATGTGCATCTCTACATGCATGTGTCAGAGATGTGAAGCCAGAGGGAAAGCCAGATGATTAACAAAGCCCGAAGAGCTACAAGCCTCATAGTTTGCGTCTTATTTGTAATTTTGTTTCTCTTCATCTTTTTCTCTGCATTGAATTAAAGCAGTCAACATTGGTCTTCGCTTTATATATACAAGAAACCCAGAGACATAATCTCCTCTAATTCTGTGTGCCAGCAAAGAATTTTCCTGTGGTGTTTCCAAGCAAAACCCTCAAAAAGATTCAAACAAAGGAATTAAAAAAAAAGTACTGAAAACTTAAATGAACAAAAAAAGCAATATTCTACTCCTGTGAACATATGCACTGGAAAACACCTTCGAGTCTAGAAGCTGTCCGACATCTGCACATATAAGATGTTATCTTGGATAACTGACTAGACTTCAAAGACAGAACTGCTTCTTCAGCTAACAGCCCCTGTTAGGTGTGCCAGCAAGGTACATGGGTCACCACAAGCTCTCTGCAGGCAAGACTGTAGCATTTTTACCAACTAGCATAGTGTAATACAAAAAGTTTGACTCCTTCCCTTGAATTCATTCATGGATAGTGTGTAAATATATTTGGAAGTATTATTACTTTGCTTAATTTCTAACAAAATGTTCTCAGAAAAAAATGGTTTTATGTGTTTTTTTTCCTAATATTGTCCTGGGATAGGCACAATGCTTGTTTAGCCTACAGGAGGCACTAGATTCAACCCCCAACATTAAAGAATAGAATCAAATGACTTAAAAATAGTTTTGCTGCTCTAGAATTTCATTTATTACTTCACAGGGTGACTACTTTCTAAATCTTTCAGGAAATTCAAGCCTACCAGAAAATAACAGTCAATTTTAATGCTAATCAGACAATGTGATGACACCCAGTGAGGAAATTATTATTTTGATATTACAAATGCACAAAGTTTGATTATTTTCTATGTGGTCAGCACTCTCTGATAACTGGATGCCATTTTCTACTGTTTTATGATATAAGTAAGAGTCTTGGAAGTAGTGGTGCATACCTTACGGACATTCAAAGAGCAGGGAAGCCATCAGGGGACTCTAGGTACTACTGCATTTTTGAACAAATGTTTAGACTGTGTTGTCAGCAAGTGCCACAGGCTTTGGGAGCCAGCGGAGCCTGTCAGTGCTGTCATTGGCAGCACCCTGAAGGCTGTTTGAAACCGGACACGGTAAGAATTTAGCCTATGGAAATTGGCAAACACTAAGCATTGGGGGGTTTCCTCTTGAGAGTCATTTTGTATCCAAGCACCACTGCTCTTGCTGTTTCCCACCAGGTTTCTAACAAAGATTTCCACCATTCTAAAGCCGGTGTTGCTTTACTTCCGTAGGCTCTTGTCTCAGCAGAGTCGGAAGAAGGCGGGAACCAAACAGAGTTGGGAGTCACCAGAAACAAGATCATGACGGCTCAATATGAATGTTACCAGAAGATTATGCAGGATCCCATTCAACAAGCAGAAGGTAGCTGCGACTAACACTAGATGCACTTCACACGTGTTTAAAAGAAAACTATCTATGCAGGTTCTTATATCTACTAATAAAAATTAAGTAGTTGCTTGTTTTCTGGTTTATGTACAAATTTTATTATGTATTTGTGAAATGTGTTTTATGACATGACCCAACTTACTCTTCTTATAAAATTTAACAAAATACTTCATCCACTGAAGTTTTCAGAATGATCCTTTTCTAGGTGTAAAAATATTCAAGATACTAACAGATATTAATATTAAGACAAGTCAATAGCTATTGACCATCAGTTCATGTAATTTATAAATTTATCTTTTTATAAAATACTTTGCTTAGTGGAATTTGCCTGTGATTGCATACCAATTCTATATTAGCTGGCATCATTTTATTTCATATTATTTTGAAACCTTTGAACTAATTCCTCGCAAATGATCTAGATAAAGGTTTAAGTACTAAAAAATAATGTTGAGCAATAGGGAAATATTTTCATAGTAAAACAATTCTGTGGTAAAAATAGTTCAGGATAACTGCTTATTTTACTCAGATCTTCACAATGTGTTTTGCAATCTGTAAAAAAATACTTTAATATAGACTAAATACCTTAAAAAAAACCACGTTGTGTTTCTGAAACCCATCTGAACAAAGGTATCTATCTCATTCTGACACCATAGAACACGACTCAAAAGCTAGACATTGGTGATGCATCACGCTACTTGTGTTGAAGTGTACTTACACACAGACTTTTATAATGGCAGCTTGCACATGTATAATATGATTTCTGAAACAATAAGAATGTTCTTCTATAAATCACAAAATTTATTTTACCAGTCACATATGATAGGAAACATTTTAAATTTATTTAAGATAACAGCAAAGAAAGCTGTAGTTGTCTTAGTTGTTTTTTTTAACATGTTTGTAATTATTTAGAGTTTTTGGATAACAGAATTATTATGGCTCCACTGGGGATAAAAAGGTCACAAGATTGTTGTACAGATATACGATTATTAACAAATTTTTCATGCAGCAATGTTCTATTTAATTTTGATGACTTATTGATTGTTATAGATTTTTGATTAGATATTTTTAGAACACTGATGAGTTCATTTTGTTATACATATATTATAATATGCAATATATATAATGTATTGCAAAAGTTTCTTTATCCTTACATTGATGAAAACATAAAATAATTACAGTTAAAATGTTAAAATAGTAGTATTGACTAGAGGGTATTTGTTTCAGAAAATGCTCAAATACTTTCCTTAAGAACACAGTTTCTGGCCTGCAGTGCTGGTGAACAACTTTAGTCCCAGCACTTGAGAAGCAAAGACAGGTTGATCTCTTTGAGTTTAAGGTTAGCCTGCTCTATAGAGCGAATTCCAAGCCAGGGCTATACAAAGAAACCCTGTCTTGAAAAAGCAAAACAAAAGCAGTCAGACAGACAGAAAAACAAACAAACAAAAATCCAAAAGAGAGAGAAAGAAAGAAAAAAAGAATACAGTTTCTAAAATAAAATATGCTTCACAAAAATTAAGTACAGGGAGACTAATTACTGCCTCACGGTTAAATACAATCATCAAAGATAGCCTGATTTATTGAACAATTGCTTTGAGGAAATTAAACTGAATCTGATATTTATGCGGAGTCATTTCTTAGTTTTATTTGAATATCATTAATAATAATTATTAATAGTTGTTGTAGTGATTACTTAGTGACAAAAATCGAGCACCTGTGGCTTTTATACATCTTCATTTCCAGGAGACTTCTTTACACCAAGGCACTGAGAAGCTTTCCTTAAGAGTTGATTCACGGGTAGGCACAGAGACTTGCTGACTCTTCATTTTTATTTCCTCTCTAAGGTCTTTTCTGCAACAGAACCTGGGATGGATGGCTATGCTGGAATGACGTTGCAGCAGGGACTGAGTCGATGCAGTACTGCCCTGATTACTTTCAGGATTTTGATCCTTCAGGTAGATACTGGAGTTTAATTACAGATCTTATTGAAATCTGTAGAGTGAACTTTGTTATTTAATATTTATTAATGCTATTAAATAGTAAATACATGTTATTAGATGCATTTGGAACTTATCACAAAAATAGTTGCCGGGCGGTGGTGGTGCACGCCTTTAATCCCAGCACTTGGGAGGCAGAGACAGGCAGATTTCTGAGTTTGAGGCCAGCCTGGTCTACAGAGTGAGTTCCAGGACAGCCAGGACTATGCAGAGAAACCCTGTCTCAAAAAACCAAAAAAAAAAAAAAAAAAGTCTTGAAAGATTTGCAGTATGTAACTATCCTAGTTTTAACTCTCTACTTCTGAATTCATTTAACCAAAGGTAAACAAATTGAACAGAAACTGTAAGTTTATTAAACTCTTTTTAATTTTTTTCTTTCTATTATTAAAGAGAAAGTTACAAAGATCTGTGACCAAGACGGACACTGGTTTCGACATCCAGATAGTAACAGAACATGGACCAACTACACCCTGTGTAATAACAGCACGCATGAGAAAGTGAAGGTATGAAACAATTGTGAATTACATTTTAAAATCAGAGCAATGCAGTATCGAGAAAAAGAAGTCAGTGTTTCATTCCACAGTAAAACTATTTCCTACTATCATTTGAGAAGAACAATGAAAAAATTCTGTAGAAAAGATGCTATTAATTCTGTCATTACACTAGGGAAGTAACCCTGTTAGGTAACTGTGCATTTACAAGTCAATGTCTCAGAATTGGGGTTTCAGATTTTCCAAAGAAAATATAACTTAAAAGTGTAATATAAGGGAAAACTTTCATTTCTAGTGAAATTCTAGAATTACCTCAAAAATTGTCCTTAGACAAACAGGATATGCTCAGTGGGATTTAAACCTCCACCTGCACCTCAGAAGAAGGTGCCCATTCTAACTGGCTGTGCATGTTCCTGCTTTGAAATTTAAAGTTAAAGCCACGGTGAAGGACAATCGTCACAGAGTAAAGCTTGACTGAGATATTTTTATATATTTTCAGTTGTGTGTGTATATGATTAAAAGTGTGAACACTGATATGTGCTTCCTGTTTTGGCACTTTATCTGCCCCATGGCCACGGACAAGAAAACCCTCTTGTGTTAAGCAAGTGTACTATCTTCCAGTGGCCAGGATAGTGCAATCACTCAAACCACAAGCTATCACTGTGCTATATATCATTAGTGCTCTGCCTATTTAGAGGTGTTTAAGTTATCAACCCAAACCCAAACCCAAACCCAAACCCAAACCCAAACCCAAACCC